GAAGTCAGATCTGGCAGGATGTAGAAAGTGGTTTTGTTATAGGGATGACAGTGTTGGTTCAGCATTGGAAGATCCACCCCCAAAAGTAATCATTTTAACAGAGGAAAGGAGAAAGCCATATGATCCTGTCACTAGTTGGAGAAAGAGTATTGATGTCCATTAATATTTGTTTTATGGGGCCGGGGATTTAGCTCAGTGGTTCCGTTGCCTGCCCTGCAAACAAAAAGACCCGAGTTCGATCCCCGGTACCAAAAAAAAAAAAAAAAAATTAACAAGGAGCTACTGAGGCAGGAGGAGCCCAAATTCAAGAGGAGCCTGGCCTAGGTTGACAGACTATCTGAAAAAAACAAAAAAGGGTTGGGGTGTAGCTAGGTGGTACAGTGCCCCTTTGTTCAGTCCCCAGTAACACACACACACACACACACACACACACACCACTCGCTTAACCAGGGGCTGCGCAGCACCAAAGGGCCGAATTCAGAGCTCCCAGGTCTGTGTCTCTGCCCTTGTCCCCTCCCTAAACAAGTCCTCCCCGCGCGGACGCTGCCGGCCCCTCATGCGCCGTGTAACCCTGCAGCCCCTAGATGGCGCCACATCCTCATTTTAGCCAGCCTGACCGCATTTGGGACACAAAGGCGGGCCTCGCCAGAGTTGGTGGCACAGGGGATTCCGAGTCTCGCCGCGGGCCTCGCTCCCCGGGGACTCGGCCCAACGCCGGTGGCAGCGTGGATTCGCCCCCTAGCCCGGCCGTGCGGGGCCGGGACCAACCTGTGGGTGTTGGGGTCACGGGGAGTTTTTATTACCCTCAACCCGCCTTGGTCCCTAACGGAAGTGGGAAAGCGCTGGCAGGTCTCCCGCCGCGAGGCGCGCGAGGCGCGGAAACACTGTGGGGACCGAGGACCCGGGCTCTGGACCCCCGCAGGCCTGCGAGGGGCTGTCCTTGACACCAGGCCTCCCCTAGGGACTTTGCCGCCTCCCGCGCGCCTGGCGCCAAGAAGGCTCAATGGGGGACGTGGAAGGGGGCTTGTGACCAGGCAGGGCCATGTGCCAGGGTAGACACAGCCTACACCTCGGGTTGCTCTCTCCTTGGACCGATGGGGTGCGAGGAGTCCCCATTTGGGCCAGGCCACGCCAAGAATGGAGTCCCCATAGCGAAGCCGAGGGCATCCGAGTGCTGAGGTGGCGGGGAGCAGTGGGGTAGTGGATGTCTCACTCTGGCCTCCGAGCCCCGGAATTCAGGCCGGCGAGGAGGTATCGCTGCAAAGGGTAAGAAAACTCACCGCGATGACAATGACTACTGTCGCCCCGTGCGGGGGTGCCAGGCTGGGGGTGGGAACATTCCTCTGTGGCCTCCCAAGTGTTCAGTTTAGCTACTGATTGAGGAGTAAATAGGTTTACAGCCACATGGGGTGGCTCACGCCCATAACCCCTGCTACTTGGGAGGTTAAGGCAGAAAGGTCATAAATTCGAGGCTAGCCGAGGCAATTTGGAGACCTTGTGTTTTGTTTTTTTCGTGTGTTTTTTTTTTCTTTTTTGAGACAGGCTGGCCTCAAACTGCTTGCGCGGCCACGCGGGGCTTGGCTGTGCTGAGAATGGAACCCAGGGTCTCCTGCAAGCCGAGGCAGCATTCCACCCAAGCCGCACCCCAGGCCCGAAGAGAGCTTTAACTGGAGTAAACTCAGTTCTACCAAGTCTCACTCCCTTGTCTTGTGGGAGCATAAACCGTCCCACCCCAAATACGCTCGCTGGCGCGTCGCCAGTTGGTTATCCAGAAAGGCTGTGTGAGGAAGCCTCCAGCCCTGCAACGAAGTACAGACCCGAGGACGCAGCGTCTCGGCTGCCCGCCCGCCCCTCGCCCCTAGCCCCCGGAAGAGGAGGTGGGGGTGATACCTGGCCGGAGGGGGTGACCACGGGTGGCTGTCACCTGCCCGGCCTCATCTGCATCACAAGGCAGCCCTGGCCCGCTGCGCACCTCCTCCCCGACCCTCCCACCCCATCTCTTTAAGCTCCGAGTGAGGCCCACAAAGCAGTAAGGAAGACGTAGGCGGCCTGCTCTCTCGCCCTCCTCAGTGAAGCCTGTGTTCTTTTCCCGTTAGCCCCGGCAGTGTTACCGACCACACAGGTCCGCTGCTCGCCGCGGGCCAAACCGGAGGAGGCCACTTATTTTGTGAAGGAAGAAGGCTTTATTCAAAGCCAGGACGGAGGAGGGCCCGCCTCTAACCGCTGCTCTCCGCAGGCAGGCGGGCAGGGGTGTTTATAGGGGAGGGACCGAGGGCTGTGGACCCAGACCGCGCGGCTCTCCAGCCCTCCTTTGGCACTCCGTGCCATCATCAGCTCTTTGTCCCCTTTCTGGCCCCTGGGGCCCGCCATCTGCATATTCTTGCATTCTTCGGAGCTGGGGGTTGGGGTCCGGTTCTGCGCAGGCGGAAGTTCGGAGGCCTTGCTTACTACATCTCTAAAAGAAAAGAAATCCAACCTTGCAAGTTCCATTTTGAGCTGGCGGTTACATCGGGTTATTCCACAGACTGAAGTGATCGAAGCTTCAGAGGGAAAAGAATCAATTTCAAACTTCGCTGCAGCCTCGAGCTTTCTCATTCTGCATGGTTTTGCTCAGACACAGTCCCCAAGGGTTCTGAGGCCCGGAGACCGGCGGGCGGAGACGCCACCCCGGGGCGCTCCCGTCGGGTGGTCGCGCTGCCCGGAGTGTCAGTTTCCTGCCTCAGCTTCTCCTGGGGGCTTTTTTTGGGTAGGAAGCGCAATGCTCATACCAGATACTCTTGTAACAGAAATCTCTACATTAGTGGTGAGCAAGTTTTATTTTCCCCAAGAGCCAGTTTAGTGGGACAAGGGTGCTTACGGGTTGCATTTGTGGATGCGTCTCCTTCCGGGGCAGAAGCGTGCGCTGTCAGGTAGAAGCACTCAGGAGAGAACGGCCCCTTTGCGATGACCGAGATGTTCGAGTCTGCCCTCCTTTGAGTCACACAGGGGCTGCTTTCTAATTTTTTACCCTAAAATTAGTTGACAGACTGAAGATCGACTTAAACAGAATGGCACAAACCCACCAGCAGTGTTTCATTTCACCCTCTGTGATCCATTAGATCCGTTTGGGGCCCATACAGGGAAGCGACACAGGGAATCCTGCCTGTAGGGGCCGGGGATTTAGCTCAGTGGTTTCGCCGCCTGCTACGCAAGTGTAAGGACCCGAGTTTGATCCCCGGTACCAAAAGTAAAAAGAATCCTGCCTGCTGTTAATCTGCTGCGAATTGCTCAGCAAAGTGACTCTGGGCTTCTAGGAAAGCCAGAAACAGTTAGGACAGCTGCTGTCCCCAGGAAGTAGGGGTTTCCTCAGAGGTCCTCACAGAAGGAGGGAGAATGCACTGGAGTTGCTCCTTTTGGAGACTTAGTAACCAAAACAAAATAATTCAAAAATGAGTGCTTCTGTGTTCTCTGGCAGAATTCTTTATTGTAATACTGGGATTGTAACTCAGGAGGGCTCTACCACTAAACTACAACATCCCTGGCCCTCTTTTTTTTTTTTTTTTCTTTTTGAGACAGGGTCTCGCTATGTTGTTCAGGCTGGCCTGGAACTCTCGCTAATCCTCCTGCCTCAGCCTCCTGAGCACTGGGATTACTGGAATCACAGGTGTGCACCACCATGCAGGTCATCCCTTTTATTTATTTTTTAATTAATTTTACTGGTACATTTTAGGTTTACAATACAGTTACATTCATCATTGGAGATTTGTACCTTTACATGATATATTTTGATTCTTATTTTTCCCCTTCCCCTGCCCTCCCTTCAAGCCCTCCACCCCTCTCAATTTACAAACTTTGTTTTTATTTTTTCATTTTCTCATATTTATTCCTTTCCCTTCTTTCCTTTCCCCTACCCCTCCCATTCCCCTTCCCCTTTGCACTGTTTCTTCCTATTTCACATTATCTAATATACATTTTGATATCCCTTTTTATTTTTAAAATAGGGTCTTGCTAAATTGCAGAGGCCAGACTTGAACTCTGAACCATCCTGCCCCAGCCTCTGGAGTAGCTAAGATTACAGGCGTGCACCACCATGCCTGGCTCATGTTATGGGGAAAATAACTCCTAACCTGTTAGATGACAGATATGCCAAGTTCGTGGTCTCTTGACATCGAGGGATGAAGTTGCGAACCAAAGGAAGAAGTTAGGAGATTGGGAATAAGGAGAGAATAACTACTGGATTTCCAGGTGGGGCCCCGAATGAGGTTGCCACTGAGGCCCTTTGTCGGGGTAATTTATACAGCGATGTCACAATGTGGGTCAAACTCCCATCAACCTATAGGATTACAAGCATAGCTGCTTAGCTAATATTGGCCCAATAGGGAAATGAGTCATGTAGCAAGGGTACATGGAAAGGACAAAGGCATCTTTGGAAAGGGATGGGTCTGGATGCTCTGGTCACCCACCTGGGCAACTGATGCCTATCTGTACTTCCTGGACCAGGCGGTGCTGATTACAGTATAATCTCAATCTACTTTTAGGGAGGCATGCAGGCCTGGCTATTGTGTCTCTGTCTTGAGGCTTGGCCTTCAGGTGCACCTCCAGCCACGACTGTGATATCTTTTTTTTTTTTTATGGTACCAGGGATCAAACACAGAACCTTGCACTTGCCAGGCAGGCTCCATGCCACTGAGTTTAATCCCTGACCCTGTGATGTCTTTATTTTTCTGCTAACTTCCTTGAGGACCCAATCCCTTAGCATTAAATTTAGGCAGCAGAAGAAAGATCACATATTTTAAAATACAACATCTAAAGCTAGGCATGTTGGTGCACACCTGTAATCCCAGCACTCTGGGAGGCTGAGGCAGGAGGATGGCAAGTTCAAACCCAGCCTGGGCAACTTAGTGACACCATGTCTCAAAAACAAAACAAAAAAAAAAACAAAAAAGGGCTAGGGGATATAGCTCAGTCCAAAGGCTCTGGATTCAATCTCTAATACAGCAAATATATGTAGTATATTACATATAATCTATTGGAGTTCATTCACTAATATCAATTTTTTTCTTTTTCTTTTTCTTTTTTTTTCTTTTTTTGAGACAGGGTCTCGCTATGTAGTTCAGGTTGTCCTTGAACTCACTATGTAGCCCAGGCTGGCTTTGAACTCACAGTGATCCTCCTGCCTCAGCCTCCCAAATGCTGAGATTACATTACCACGCTGGGCATCTAATATCAATTATTTAATGCTAATTTGTTTTGGTACTGGGAATCAAACTCAGGTCCTTGCACTTGCAATTTTTTTGTTTGTTTGTTTGTGCTTTTGAGGCAGGGGCAGCACCACTGAGCTAAATCCCCAGCCCTATTTAATGCTAATTTTAATCCTTGCAGCTTAATTTCTCCTTTGTCCTCTTTGAACAATATAAGTTAGCTAGAAATAAATATACTGTAAAGTCAGAGAGGAACTGGGCTCTCAAGCAAGCCAGCAGAAAAATGAAGACATTTTTCTCCAGAATTGTGGCTGGAGATGCATCTGAGGAAGACCAGGCCTCAAAATAAAGATGCAGTGACCAGGCCTACATGCCTCCCTGTTATGGTTTGTGTCTAGATGTCCCCCCAAAGCCTCATGGGGCCATAGGTGGGGCATTTCAGAGGTGGCTGAATCTAGGGTGTGTGATGTTGGGATTGATTCAAGGTGGAAAGCTAGGATTAAGGTGTGAGGGCTACCCGCCCTAAAGGTGAGTAGCCTAGATAGGGTATAAGGGACAGAAAGAGCACGGGACTTGTCACTTGCTGCTTGCTACTTTGCTACCTTCTGCCTTCTGCCTGCCATAAACTGTTTCCTCTGTGATGCCCCTCTGCCATGCTGCCCTGCCTTGGAGCCAGCTGACTATGGACTGAAACTTCTACAAACTGTGAGCTCAAATAAACCTTCCCTCCTTTATCTTTGGATGTCAGGTGTTTATCTCAGCAACAAGAAAATTAACTGAGAGTCGACCAGGTGGGTGACCAGAGCATCCGAACCCATCCCTTCTCAAAAATGCCTTTGTTTCTTCCGTGTACTCCTGCTCTGTGACTCATTTCCCTATTGGGCCCACAGTACCTAAGCACCTATACTTGTACTCCTATAGGTTGCTTGTAGTTTGACCCACATTGTACCCACACTGTGACTTTGCTGTATAAGTTACCCCTGACAAAGGGCCTCGGTGGCCACCCACTTCCAGGTTCCTCAATAAACCTTTCCCACTCTTAACCTCTGTTGTCCTTTGGAATTCATTCTTTGATTTTGGGGGACACAAATTGGCACATCTGACATCTAGCAGGCTGAGAGTTATATTTTCTCCTATATCATTTTGGAGGCGTAAGAGTTTGCTCTTGTTTCATGACATCTGAAATATTTCATTGGGATTCTGGATTGCGATTTGTTTAGATAATCAAGAATTGTCATCTTTTGTTTGTCAGTCGCTTATGCCTCGTCTTTTTTGTTAGAATGATGATAGATTTAAGTTCTGAGCATGGAAGATTGTGATGTCTTCATATTTAGGTTTCTTAGATGGGATATTTTTGTTTTTGCAGGCAGGACCTTGTATTCCTGTTTTGTATATGCTACATTTAGACTTACTTCTACACTAGTTGCTGAATTTACTTGTATTACTTTCTTGACTTGTTTGGCGGTTACCAGATGGCTTGTTGTCTTATTTCAGACAGCTTTTTGGAATGGCTTTTTGAATTTCTAATTGCTCTGAGCTAGTGCTCTTGGGTAGGTCTGAGGTTAGGGGGCAGGTTTTGGCAGCTCACCTCTGTTCTGGATGGTTATCATTGTGAGCAAATGGCAATATGCTTCTCATTCCTCTATAGACTTCACAACCTCCATCCCAGGGTTAAAAGGGAATCAGAATTCATGCTCATTAAGGAAGGTACACGTGAGGGTTTTGGCTGACCCAGCACCTGGGCAGGTTTCCTCCTGACAGGACCAGCAGGAGAGAACACCCACACCGAGACTCAGTGAGGGAAGGCCTCTGGGTGACACCAGGGGGCGCTATGTCAAAGAGCACATGCACATACAAGCCCTAAACAATATAGTTGGAGAACTTCCAATCTGCCCTTTGATTTTTTTCCTCACTCTCACTGTCTTTCAAAAAGGTAGAAATTAGTCATTCAAGTCTGTTGATCATTGGTTTAATTTTTCGCTGGCATTTCTTCCCTTCTTAAACATGGCTGTTAGCCGGGCATGGTGGTGCATGCCTGTAGTCCCAGCACTTGGGAGACTGAGGCAAGATGATTGCTTCAAGTTCGAGGCCAGCCTAGGCTACATAGTGAGTTCAAGGTCAGTCTCCACTACAAAAATGTTTGTTTGAGACAGGGTCTCAAACAAACAAATGGCTGTTACAGCAGGAATCAATTGTCATTGTATCTTGTACTTTTGAAAATACACTCTGGAGTTAGAAATGTGAGTTTTACGAGAAAGTAGGTGCACAGGTCAGTAAGGGTGGCTAGTTTGGCCTGACCTATCCAGATAGCAGCCACCTGCTCTGGGGAAAGGAAACCTCAGGGGACAGCCTGAGGGTGTATACAAACCAAGTAGTGGTTAAAGTGGTACCTTCCTTTCCCCTTGTGCTTTTGCAGATGGAAAACTTGATGGCAAATTCCCTTACTCCTTTGGAGTGGTTTTGTTTTATAACTTTTTATTAGGAAACTAAGGCAAAACAACAAAATTCCAAAAAAATAAAATA